CCCCAAAACCCCAAAACCCCAAAACCCCATAGAGCCTGTTAATGGTTGAATTAATATATTATCAATTATGAGGTAATTCGTATCAATTGCAACAAGTCCTAAGTTCAAATAAAATAGCTTAACTTCTTACTGAGTGTGGAAGAGCAGGGTCTATATCCCTTTGGTCACCGAATTGTTGCTTGTTGATGAATTTTTACTATAATTTTGGTTAGGACTCGCTCAAAGTGTATTATCAATTAGCGCATGTCCTTATAATTTTTCATAGCTATTTCTTCAAACTGTTTTAATTGTTATTTTGATATTTTATCACTAAAAATGATAGGATATCAATTCTCACATCTTGCAAGAATATTTAATACTCCTTATTTTTTAAGATTTTACCCACATAGTTTTTACTCATCCTTGGTCAGATATGTAAACTTTTTAAAACCTGAGAAACTCTGACCAAATGGAACATGCTCACTTTCTTCAAGAAACTTGAATTTTATAAATATTATAACCAGCAGAAGATGTAGAGAGCTCTTATAGCTTAAAGGGAACTCAAGAAGAATCTTATTTTGACTACTCTCTTTAAAAAAATTTCCTTACAAACAATTCAGGGGTTATAGAAGACATGTTATATCATTGGACTGAGCAAATAGTATCATTATTATTCCTATCATTAACTTAAACCCTTTAGGGTTCTTCTCAATAATCCTGTTCTTCATGAGGAGCTTAAAGAAGAATTGCAGTTTACATTGAACATGCCAAGTTACCGTTATTCTTATGGTATTTACGAATGATGCTTTTTAAGTCAAAAGCATCATTAAAGCATTGAACAATTGCTAGATGCCACTACTTAGCCACAACACTTCTATAACGAGTCCAAGTAGGCTGCTTTCAAAGATCTTAAAAAATTATGCACTAATTTGTTTAATAATCCCAATAAGTTTTAGAGTAAGAGAAAATATAAGTATTGGGTATAAAAATCATCTAACAAGTCATCTAAATATTGATTTGATATCTTTATTATATGTGGCCTTATACGTGTGCTTATAAAGATAAAATAATGGGAATGTTAGCAACAATTAGATTCTTTTGTAAACTTATAAAGATGCAGAAATATTCTAAAGTTGTAATAGTTTTTACTCAAGAATAATAATTTGTAAAAACAATTTAACAAACTCTAACTATTCCAATGAGTATCTGATACATCTGAAAAGACAAAGAAGCTATGAAGAAGCTTTCTTCTGATGAAAATCTTGGGATAGCTCTCTTTACCTAAATCTTAAGCACAAACATATAATTAGAAACAAATTGATAATAAGTTGTTAAACCTCTCCAGGATGAAATAATTCAGATTATTTGTATATATTTAACTTTACTAATTACTTTCTCCTTCTAGTCTTAAATTCTAGTAGGATACTTAAACTAGCAATTTTCTAGATTTATTCAGCATTTGAAATGCATAAATTTTTATGAAAGGATGTTCATCTAAAGCTCAAGAATACAAGGCTAGTTTAGCTAATATTATAATATAATAAACAGATTATTCATAAAGTATTACTACCTCAGCAATCTGGACTTTGATTGCTTGGAGATTTATATTAAGTTTCGTGAAAATTTTAGGAATACCAGATATATTAAATTGAACTATTCGAACCAGTTCTTTATAGTGCCTTAAATATTTATAAACTTATGAATACCTCAGTTTAAGATAGTCATTATAAACAATAGCTAAGATCTCAGAGGAAGGTTGCCCTATCAATCTTCTCATTTTAGGACGCTCTGGTTAAATAAAATAACTTCCATTGCTCATCATGGGATGATTGATGAACATTACCTTCGGACTTCAACAACTGAATGTTGCACAAGTTGTCCAACAGAGGTTTTAGTATAATTTTAAATGAGATTCTTCCTTGGCAGCTTTAGTTGATGAGCTGTAATTTTTGATCGTTTACTAAAAGATGGAAATATCTTACAACATTTAAGTTTTTTTCAGATACTTATCCTGTTTAATTATATGAAAAGAAGAAAATTATTATGAGAATCTGGCTTGATTGTAAAGTTTAGTTTCAACAAACCTTGGCTTATGAGCATTATTTATAATTTTAGTTCTTCTTCTCAATAATTTTGAGATAAAATTCTCATTCTGATTTCATGATAAATATGCGTAAAAATTTTGACATTCACATGGGAAAACTATAAATTTTAAAGATTTTTAGTAAAAATTAATCTAAATAAGAAATGAATTTATCTGTAGCAAATACATTCATGCTTTGTCCTGTTAATATGCTTATAGATTGAGTTTTTATCCCTATTACCACATCTCAAATGCTTCCTATTATTCAGGAGCCTCAACAGATTCCTGATATCAGTGCTTATTGTAAATGAGGTCTGCTAAACACTGGAAGGTTTCTAACAAAGACTCAGACAAATGCAAATGTTGTTAAAAAGAAGCAAGAGCCTTGCTTACCAAGAACTAAACGAATTAGGAGTTATAATGAAACAAATACTGAATCTTCAAACTCAGAAATACAACTCAAGAATGTCAGGCTTACTGATTTGCCGAGGAAACAGAAGAGAAAAAATAGAGTTTTCCAAAGACTTTCTTCCTTCGGATCAGGTAAGTATTCTTAATTAATTCTTCTTTATGGCTGAGTTTAACTAACATTCCAAGTTGTCCATTTTCCATAAGCTTTCTATTTCTTAAAATTATCAATAAATTTAGGTTCTAAGATCTTTCAAGAAATAGAAAACATATCTAATCCAGAAGAGGTTATCATTAAGGCTTCTGCTAAATGCCAAACTGCCCGGACTGAAGGTCTGGGAATGAGATCAAAGTACATCGGAGTCTGTCATTAGAAAGGGATGTATAATTCTTATATTGTAGTCAATGGCAAAAAGACCTACATCTGAGGAACAAAGAATGAGGAAATAACTGCAAGCACTATGACTATTGAGCCATTCTTCTTCAAGGAAGAGCAGCAACAACCAACTTCTCGTATACAAAGAGACAGTTGATGGAAATGCTGGTTTCTGAAAGAATTTGCTCAGAATCTTAAATAGCATATCGTATGACCCGCTAGTGGAGAATCTTCTTGGAGATCTAAAACAAACAAGACACGACTTTCAAAGATAAGTTACAACTGCAACAACCCCATTTCCATGACTAATCTCCAGCACTTCTTTCCTTAACTCACGACTCATCTATCTAATTCACTGTAAAAACTCTAAAAACAAACTTTAATACCCCTCCTCCACCCCTTCCCACTTAACCACTTCAGTTTCAATCTTCCATCTCTCCAAGGGGTTTTGGGGTTTTGGGGTTTTGGGG